GAGCTGAGATTACACCACTGCAGTCCATCCTGGGCAGCAAGCGTGAAACTCTGTATCAAAAAATAATCGCCATCATCACCATCATGCGGGTCTTAGTTCCTGCTCCTCCTCTAACTGTGGGACCTTGGACAAGCTGCTTAACCCCGGGCCCTCGGTGCCCCACCCCCTGGACACCACCCAACATAATCTCACTTCCCCCACCACTCTTTTTTCTTTTTTTTTTTTTATTTTTTTGAGATGGGGTCTCACTATGTTGTCCAGGCTAATCTGACTCTCCTGAGGTCAAGTGATCCTCCCACCTCAGCCTCCCAAAGTGCTGAGATTACAGGCATGAGCCACCCCGCCCAGCCCCCAGCACTCTCTAGAGGCCAGGGCTCTGAGATTCAGAAAGGTTAAGTGATTTGCCCCATACCACCAGCAATCTGATGGTCAAGAATTCTGGGAAGAAAAATCCCAAAGAGAGCATACTGTCGACCAGCCCCACAGGACGGTGGGGGAAGCGGTGGCACAGAGAGACCAGGAGCAGGTCCAGGCCTGCAGGTTGGGGTGCCCTGCCCTCAGCAGGGGCACAGCTGCCCTCCTGGTCCCTTGGGCGCAGGCCTCCTCTTGTTCCCGTAAATAATTAATTAGCCCTGCCTGCTTGTTTGTTTAGCATGAGGAATGCTCCCCCACTGAGACGCATTTATTGCTGAATAAATTTAAATATCTAATCTTCCCTTCATGAATATTACAGCACCCTAAATAGCGGCCAACTCATCCTAAGCGCCTTGGCGGATGGCCTCACTGGAGCCTGGCTGCCTTCCGCCTCTGCTGGCTCTAAGGATGGCCTGGCTTCAGCCCCGCCTGCCCATTCCTGGTGCCCTCTTCTGCCCCAGGAATGCCCAGGGCCACAATCACTTGGCCCAGCCTTCCTTCCTTCCTTAGCGTCCTTCCATGGGAGGCGCAGAGAGGCTGGGGTCTGAGTGTGGGACTGCGGAGGCTGGCAGGCCGGGGTTTACCCCTGCGAAGCAGGGAGGCGCCTGAGATGGGGCGGAGGGCCAGGGGCTACTCAGAGGCCAGGGTGGGGGCAGAGAGAGGCTCCTCAGGGCTCAGGTGAGGGCAGACAGGGCCCAGGTGACATCTGAGGAGTGGCTTGAGGAAGGGGACAGGGAAGGGCCCGCTGAATGGAGGAGCCGTCAGCTGTGGGGGCAGCCACAGTCCAGAAAGACAATGGTCTCAGAACACTGAGGAGCAAGAGGCCCCCGGGCAGCCCCTCTGCCGGGAGGGGACGTGCCAGTGTGGGAGACATCGCCTCCCCAAGAGCGTGAACAGGCCATTCGAGCCAGTCGGCCAGAGTGCTTCAGGGTGAGGCCCTCTTAGGGTCCCAGAGGAAGCAGAGCCGCCTAGGTTGGGAGCCCAGCCTTCCAGCTGCTGGGCACGTTTCCCTCTCTGTGCCTCAGTTTCTTCTTCTATAAGCAGGAAAAAAATAAGACAGGGGATATAAATCACTGTGCAGCCGCTTACCCAACAAGAGGGCTGACAAAGGGCACGGGGTGGGGGTGAGTCATACCAGCTACTTAGAAGGCTGAGCCGGGGCAACAGCAAAAGCCTGTCTCAAAAAAAACAGGCTCACCTGGGCGCGGTGGCTCACGCCTGTCATCCCAGCACTTTGGGAGGCCGAGGCGGGTGGATCACAAGGTCAAGAGATCAAGACCATCCTGGCCAACATGGTGAAACCCCATCTCTACTAAAAATACAAAAATTAGCCGGGCATGGTGGCGTGCGCCTGTAGTCCCAGCTACTTGAGAGGCTGAGGCAGGAGAATTGCTTGAACCCAGGAGGCAGACGTTGCAGTGAGCCAAGATCACACCACTGCACTCCAGCCTGGTGACGGAGCAAGACTCTGTCTCCAAAAACAAAACAAAACAGGCTCATGCCTATAATCCCAGCACTTTGGGAGGCCAAGGCAGGTGGATCATTTGAGATCAGGAGTTCGAGACTAGCCTGACCAACATGGTGAAACTTTGTCTCTACCAAAAATATAAAAAATTAGCCAGACGTGGTGGTGTGCACCTGTGATCCTAGCTCCTTGGGAGGCTGAGGCACAAGAATCACTTGAACCCGGGAGGCAGAGGTTACAGTGAGCCAAGATCAAACCACTGCACTCCCGCCTGGGCGTCGGAGTGAGACAGGGCTGATGTGAAGATGCCGGACGAGGGAAGCTTAAAGGTAGAGGAGGGAGGAAGAGATTGCAGGGGGAGGGGGGCCTCGGGGGCCATCTTCTAGTCAGGTGGAGGAAGGCTTCACCTTTGACCTGGTGGAGAAGCATCTCAAGAGGGCCCCGCCAGGTCTTCTGCTGACTTGGGATGGAGGATGAGCTGGAGGCTGGAGGTTTGTTTTGGTGGCTGAGGGGCCTGGAGAGGAGACTGAGGGCTGCTCAGCTCCCGGGAGCTGGGAAGATCCCACCTTTCACCAGGCAGCCCCAGTGACCAGTGCTGCTGGTCTTTTCCAGCTGCCTTGGGGTGCAGTGGGAAGAGGAAAGAGGGAAAGAGGGCATCTCCGCTGGTTGGGCCATCAGGAAGCTTGAGTCTCTAGGACCTAGTAAGAGCCAGGACAGGCCTGGAGGGCAGAGCTAAGGGGGTTCTGGGAGTGTGTGTGGGAGGGGCCCTGTGGGCCCTTGGCTAAGAACAGCACGGTGGGGTGGGGGTTCCCCTCTGTACTTCCTGGGGAGAGAGCGAGAGGCCAGTGTGTGGACAGGGAGGGGCACGCAGGCAGGAGGGCCAGGCTGCGCTCTCGCTTGTTGAGATGAGGGTGGGCAGCCATGGGCCGATAATGACCTGTCTGTCATCTCTGCTTTAGGGGAGCCCCTCCCTGGGGCACCTGCAGAGTCACCACCTGGCCGGGCGGGCGCTGTTCTGGAATTGCTGGCAGTGAGGCAGGGGGCATCCGGCCTGAGCCTCTCCAGCATCGATTCAAACTCCCTCCACCTCCCTTGTGCCCCCAGGTCAGCCCCAAAGGCCTGGCTGCAGGCCCATTGTCCACTTCCACAGGAAACATTAAATCCCTGAATACGGAGCTCCACTTCCGCAGGGCTCCCACAGCTGGCCAAGGTCGCCTGCAGGGCGGTTAGCACCCAGTGACAGCGAGCAGCTGGGTGCCAGGTGGTTGAGGCCATCAGGGCAGGGCTGGGAGGCTCCTAGGAGAGCGGGCTCAGACAGGCCCCTGCGCTCAAGCCCACACTCCGTGAACACCCTGCGCACACCCCTCCTATCACGCTGGTGTTCACACACCCGAGCATGCCCACGCTGTCACACTGTTGTTAGTAACAGGATACACTCACATCAGCTCCACTTGTGCCAAGTACTGCCTTAAGCACGTTCCAAAGTTAACTCAATCCCTCCAACAGCCCAGTGAGCTCTGAGGCGGGTGCTACTATCCCATCTTCTAGATGGAGCAACTGAGGCCCAGAGAGGTTAAATGATATGTGCAGGGTCTCACATCTGTGGCTGGCAGAGCCGGGATTTGAACTCAGACTGCCCAGATCCACAGCCGGCCACAGCTCCCCATTCGAACCCTCGCTGCCCATCTCCAGCCTGGACGCCTGCTCCTGGTCCAGCCTTCTTGCTCCATCTCAGCCTCCCTGCGGGCTGCAGCTGCCTCTCTCCCTGCGTAGAACAGGAGCGGGGGTCCGGATCCAGGCCTGAGCCGTTCTCAGGGTTCCCCTAACCTCTCTGCCCACCCATCCCTGGGACGCTCTGGGAAATTGCCCGGTGCCAGCTCTAACTAAAGTTGCAAAATGAGGCTTAATTGTGCCCCTGGGCACAAGAGAAAACAGCAAAAGAAAGGGGTGTGAGCCAGCTGGCATCTCTGGAGCTGTGCCGAGGCTGAGATGAGGAAGGAGAAGGCCCTTGGTTTGTCCATCTGTAAAAGGGGAATGATGGTCTCTCTTGATGCCCGCCCTTGAGCACCAGGGAGCTGGTGCCTGAGGAGCTCCTGGCACCGGCCTAGGGTGCGATTAGAGCTGCCACAGATGGGCCGGGTCCTCCCGGCCAGCACGAGGTCTTTTCCTCTGTGGGAGGGTCGCCGTCCCAGTATTCCAGACGAGACAGTGGACGCCAGAGAGGGGAACAGGCAGGATCTCACAGCCGATGAGGGGCACGCCAGGGCTAGACCCAGGCCTGCCTGAGGCGGTGCCTCACCTACGCGGTGCCCTGGCGAGGTTGGGCTGCTGGAGCGTTTCCTCCAAGCCTCCCGCTGCGCCCGTGTTGTTTATCTGGGCCCGGGTCCCCAGGGTCGCTCGCGAGGCCCTGGAGCCGCCCTCGGATAAACAAGCCCAGGAGGGGCCGCAATTAAGCCGGATGCGCTAACGAGGCGGCTCATTAATCAGCAGGGGTTTGCGCGCCGGGAGACCCGGCCCGGCTGCCCGGCTCCGCTCCCCGCGCGGCTGGAAGACCCAGGCCCCGGCTCCGGATCTGATCACCTTGTAACAAGGTGGCCTCTCTTTCCTCCTCCGCAAAATGGGTCCTAGGGTTTGCCGCCGCCCCGTGGGGCGCTGCCCAGGGAGGTGGTCCTTGGGATCCCACCAACGCCGAGGCCTGGGAGGAGGCAGCGGCTGGTCGCGAGACAGGGCTAGGGAGGGGCGTCGAGGTGGGGAGTGAAGCTTCCCCGTCACCCCGGCTTCGGCGGCAGTTCCTGCCGCGGCGGCCCCCGCCTCCCGGAGCCGCCCAGCCTGGGCCCTGGCGGCGCGGCCTGGAAGGAGCAGGGCGGGCCGGGCGCGCCCCCTGCTGGCCTCCCTGCGCCACTTCCCGCCAGGCCCAGGGCCGCCCCGCTGTGCGCCTCGGTTCCCCCAGATGTGAAACGCTCCGGGTGGGGATGGGGGCAGCGGCTGAGGCCGCGGCGTTGGGATGCGGCGCCGCGTGGGTCCTCGCGCCGCCGAGGGGCTTCTCCGGACTGCGGGTGCTCAGCCCGGGGTCGCAGCCTTCTCTGCCCGGCCGGCTCAGTCCCACCCGCCCTCTCCGCAGTGGACGGTTGCATCCACCGGGCCGCCGGCGCCCTGCTCACCGACGAGTGCCGGACCCTGCAGAGCTGCGAGACCGGCAAGGCCAAGATCACCGGCGGCTATCGGCTGCCCGCCAAATGTGAGTCCCCGAAGCGCCCCCAGGCGCGGGGCGCAGACAGGGCGCCTGTGTGTCACTGGGGCATCAGGGTTGCAGTCCTCACAGGAGTGCTGGGGACCTCCTCAAAGGGCCCTTTTTAACCTTAAGGCCCAAGACCCGGCCCCTCCAACCACCCAGAAAGCAGATAGGGGAGACCGTGCGTGGAGGCTGGGGAGGGAGCTGAAGAGCAACGCCTTTGCGCCCACACTCGCGCCCGGGTCTCAGGCCCATACGGATATGGGAAGGAGGCGCAGAACGCCGTGAGTGTACCGATTCAGGCTCGAGGGGGCCCCCAGGGGGGCCTTCGCCGAGGAGGCTCAGCGCTTGGGCAGAAAGGGGTTTCCTGCCCCCTTCTGCCCGGGCCGGCAGGGGGAAGCGAGGGAGCTGAGGACGGCATAGGTCCCGGCTGGTCTGACCCCGTCGACCCCGCAGACGTCATCCACACGGTGGGACCCATGGCCTACGGAGAGCCCAGCGCCAGCCAGGCTGCCGAGCTCCGCAGCTGCTACCTGAGCAGCCTGGACCTGCTGCTAGAGCACCAGCTCCGCTCGGTGGTGAGCTGCGGTCCGCAGGGGAGGGCGGGAGGCGGGGCGCAGTGACAATGTCCCAAACCCCTCTCACCCCTCCCCGCCCAGGCGTTCCCCTGCATCTCCACCGGCGTGTTTGGTGAGTGGGTTTGGACGAAGGGCAAGGGCCAGGAGTGGGCGGTGGGGGACCCAGACGCCGAGAGCAGCTGGGGCGGACGGGGGGTTGGGCGGGGCCTGCTGCTGTCGGGGGGCGGGGCCAGAGCCCAGGACTCACTCCTGCCCCACCCGCCGCAGGCTACCCCAGTGAGGCGGCAGCCGAGGTCGTGCTGGCCACTCTTCGCGAGTGGCTGGAGCAGCACAAGGACAAGGTGGGGCCTGGGCCCGGGCGAGGGTGGGTTCCGCATCCCCACCAGTCTGGCCAGCCCCAGTCATCGCCCAAGGAGTGAGGGTGCCCAGGGAGTCAGGGTGCAGAGCGCAGGGCCAGGCCCGCCCCCTCCATCCCGGTTTCTCCTGCGCGAGGGCACCTGGTGGTGGCGAGATGGGATGACGACACAGCCCTGAGCTTCCGTGAAGGGTGCGGGGCCAGGCAGGTGAAAGCCTGCACCCGGGCGGGCAGTGACAGGATCCCGGGGCCAGACATGGTGGCCCGGCCCAGGCTGACCAGCCTCTGGCGCAGGTGGAGCGGCTGATCATCTGCGTGTTCCACGAGAAGGACGAGGGTATCTACCGGAGCCGGCTCCCCCACTACTTCCCCGTGGGTATGTACCCCGCACCGCCCGCCCCGTCTCCAGTCCACCCTGGGGATGGGCTCTCACTGTCCTCTGCCTTCCAGCCTGAGGCTCCCGCAGCCCACCCTGACCGGGACTGGTAAGCAGGGCCTGGCCCCATGCGGTGGCCCAGGCCCTAGACTAACCCGCCCACTAACGCCCGCTCACCCCCAAGCAGGTCGGGAAACCATGGGGCAGCCTGGGAGGGCGGGGACACCCACAGACACCTCTGACTCTGCTCTGCCCTCAGACCCGCCTTGCGGACCTCGCTCCCAGCTCTGAGAGGTCGCCAAAGCCTGCAGCCTGGCCACCCCTTCTTTCCCTCCGCGCCCGCCCGGAGGAGCCTAATAAAGATCACCCTGTGGCAGCTCCTACTGTCTGAGCTTTGACTGTGGGGACGGGGGCGGCCCAGGTGTTGGATGGAGTCCCTGGCCAGATGCTTTTGCTAAAAGGGGCTGGCAAGAGCTCTCAGTGAGCCAGGCGGACGGCGGCACGGGCGGAAGGCGGAGGCGGCAGCAGCAGTTCACATTTATTGAGGGCCTGCCCCCAAGGAGCTCACAGCCTGGGGGCTGAGCCCCTGAATGTGCAGGGGGCAGGGAAGAAAACAAGTGAAGGCAAAAAGGCAGGCAATGCAGAGACACCATGGCCCAAGCAGAGGGGGTGCAAGGCAGGCACAGGCAGGAGGCCTGGGGACGACGGGGAGGTGGAGAACCAGCAGCCCCGCCAAGACCTGAGGACTGTGGACCCCGCACAGGTTAGAAGGCTGCCCTCCCCCACCAGGCTGGCACTGCCTGGGGCACGGGCACCTGTGCGAGCCGGGCCCAGCCTCACAAAGGCCCCTCCACCCTGGACTCCCAGCCATGCAGACCCTGATAGAGGGCAGGAAGCTGGGGTCTGGGGCCCAGGCTGGGGACAGCAGGGTGGAGGTGGGACCTGTGAGGGAGCAGGTTAAGTGTGGGTGGCCCTGGGACCCTGGGCAAGTTCCCAAGGAACTTCCACAATCCCATATAACCCCCTGAGCCAGCTAAGAAGGAAAGTGGGGCCTTAGGGAAGGAAGCAGAACCCAAGGAAGTAGGAGGGGCCTCCAAAAGGCCTGGCCCCTCAAACCTGCTCCTGTTGGGGAAGCTCAGGGGTGGATGGGTGAAAAGCAGGGGGACCCACCTGGGGGGGAGCGAGCAGCAGACGGAGCAGGCAGGCGGGCAGCAGAGCAGGGACACGCACACACGGCTCACCACCAGCGCCCCCTTTAATAAAACATGGGGGGGTCGTGTGACAGAAAGAAGGGGGTGAAATAGGACCATTTACAACCACACACAAAAAAAAACCTCTGTACATGTCTAGCGCCTGGCAGAGGGGGCAGGCAGGGCAGCAGCGGGCCAGAAGCAGCCCTATTTGTAGAGGATATCGTAGTGTCCAGGCCGGTAGAGAAGGTAGACCTTGGGCTCGGAGCCCTCCGGGAAGACGTGCGGGTTGGTGGTGCCGCCCTCGCCGCGGTCCATGTACTCCACCTGGATGGACACACTGAGGGCCTGGGCCAGCGCGATGATGTGGATGTGGTCGCTCTCCTTGCACATGGGCTCCACCTCCTGTGGCACAGGGGCGGGTCAGGCCCCGGTCTCCGCGCCGTACCCGCCCCAGGCCCTGCAGACCCACTGCACTCCCCAGCCTGGTGCGGGGCCTGGCTGAGAGAAAAGGGGAGGGGACGGCACCTGCTGGCAGAACTCCTTGACAGTCCGCCCACCCTCGATGAAGTGCTCGAAGAACTTGCTCTCGCGCTGCAGGTAGCCCGAGGTGAGCAGCCTCAGGTAGACCACAAGGTAGTCAGAGGTGCTCTGGTCATTGAAGGAGGCCAGCAGGTCCGCGACGGAGGTCTGCTTCTCCACCTGCTCGATCAGGTCCATGAACTGCAGCCACGGAGGGAGAAAGGGCAAGATGGTGGGGGAGGTGGGTGGTCCCCATCACAGCCAGGTGAACCCCTCCACGCTGGCCCAGCCCGAGACAAGCCCCAGGGCTCACCGTGTTGTGGAAATCCTCAATTGTGAACTCGGTGAAGCCCTGGGACACCAGGTCCTCCTTGCTCTTGGCAGACACAGCCTTGAACCTGGGGGTGGGAGGGAAAGGCGGGCCCAGCATGGGCTCCTGGACCAGCCCAGATGCCAGGGCCCAGCCAGCACTGCCCCGCCTGGCAAGGCCAGAGCCCAGCCCACCGCCTGGCCCCAGGTGGAGCTGCACCTCCTACCCTCCCAGGGAGGAGGGAGCCACCCACCTGCCTCGGTACCCAGTGCCCACCCTTCTCACCGCTGCAATTCCTTGCTGTCATCCAGCAGCGCCTCCAAGTGGGAGAATCCGAAGGCCCGATAGAAACAGTTGCCATCAGGCCTGGTCTTCCGGATGTATGAGTACTTTTTGTGGAGGTCCTACAGAGATAGCCCCACCCCACCGGGTTAACAGCAGGCCAGGAAATGTCCCCAGCAAAGGACACACTACAGAAGGTGGCAACTGAACTCAAAGTAGCCACCTGCCACCTGGACCCCTAAAACAGGCTGCCGAATGTGGTAATGGGAGTGACTTAGTGGTCCACTGCCCAGAGTCCCCCCAAAAAGCTGCAGGAAGCTGGGCACTTAAGGACAAACTAGTCACATGGGTCACCAAAGTGCTGCGGGGCCTACAGGACTGTACAAAAACAGGGGAGTCAATCTGTCCTCAGCCAATGAGTCTTCTCCAGCCTTTCCGCCCACAGAACCTCAGGGCAAGCAAGTCAGGGCGGGGCAGAGTGCTGGGCTCCACACCTTGGCCAGGCAGCTGGGCCCTCTGCCCAACTCAGCCCAGCCCAGCCCAGCTCCTACCAGACTAACACTTCGCTCACCTCAAGGCCTTGCCCACAGCCCTCCTCTACCTTTTTTTTTTTTTTTTGAGACAGAGTCTTGCTCTGTTGCCCAGGCTGGAGTGCAGTAGTGCGATCTCGGCTCACTGCAACCTCTGCCTCCCCGGTTCAAACGATTCTCCTGCCTCAGCCTTCCAAGTAGCTGGGATTCCAGGCATGTACATCACCATGCCTGGCTAATTTTATATTTTTAGTAGAAACAGGGTTTCACCATGTGGGTCAGGCTGGTCTCAAACTCCTGACCTCAGGTGATGCACCCACCTCAGCCACTCAAAGTGCTGGGATCGCAGGCGTGAGCCACCATGCCGGTCCTCCCTCCTCACTTCTAAACCCTGCCTGCCCACTCACAGGTGCCGTCTCCATGCAGCCTTTTCCAGTTTCCTCCCGAAATGAAAGGTAGTGTCTCCTGTCTCCTGTGCTTCCCACACTGATAGGCTGGTAGTGCCGCCTGGAAAGCACACTTCACTCCCCTGGACTGGGCACCCTCGCCTCTCCCCTACCTATCTTGCTCCCACCCCCAGCTGGTGACCTTGTCTGTTTTTCCTCAGCACGTCTGCCCTTGGCCTCCTCCCACAATCCTCAGAGGATCTGTCCCAGTTGCCACCTAAGCTGCCTCTGCAATCCACCTGGCTGGGCGCCATGGCTAACGCCTGTAATCCCAAAACTTTGGAAGGCAGGGTGGGAGGACTGCTTAAGCCCAGGAGTTCGAGACCAGCCTGGACAACACAGTGAGACCCCCCATCTCTCTAAAAAACAACTGGCCAGGAGCAGTGGCTCACACCTGTAATCCTAGCACATTGGGAGGCCAAGGCAGGTGGATCACCTGAGGACAGGAGTTCGAGACCAGCTTGGACAACATGGAGAAACCCCATCTCAATGAAAAATGCAAAATTAACTGGGCATGGTGGCACATGCCTGTAATCCCAACTACTCGGGAGGCTGAGGCAGGAGAATCGCTTGAACTCAGGAAGCAGAGGCTGCACTGAGCCGAGATTGCCCCATCGCACTCCAGCCTGGGCAACAGAGCAAAACCCATCTCACAAAAACAAATAAACATAAGTTAGCTGCACATGGTGGTGCATCCCTGTGGTCCCAGCTACTCAAGAGGCCGAAGTCGGAGGACGGTGTGGGCCCAGGAGGTCAAGGCTGCAGTGAGCCGTGATGGCACCACTGCCCTCTAGCCTGGGGACAGAGTGAGCAAGACCCTGTCTCCAAAAATAAAAAATAAAGACATCATCCTAGTAAGTGCCCCCATCGTCAGTTTTTCCTTCCCTACTGGTATAGGCCCAAAAGCATATACACATTCAGCTACTTCTTTCAAAGGAAGAGAATCCTGCACTTTCCGTTTCTGTCTGGCTACCCCTCAATTTCTCTTTTCCTCCTTTTTTTTTTTTTTTTTTTTGAGAGAGAGTCTCACTCTGTCACCCAGGCTGGAGTGCAATGGCATGGTCTTGGCTCACTACAACCTCCACCTCCTGGGTTCAAGTGATTCTCCCGCCTCAGCCTCCTGAGTAGCTGGACTACAGGTGCGCGCCACCACACCCAGCTAATTTTTGTATTTTTAGTGGAGATGGGGTTTCACTACGTTGGCCAGGCTGGTCTGGAACTCCTGACCTCGTGATCCACCCACTTGGGCCTCCCAAAAGTGCTGGGATTACAGGCATGAGCCACCGCACCTGGCCGATCTCTCTGCTTTCTTTACAGTGGAGCTTCTCAAGAAGCCATCCGTGCAGTCTCCACCTCTTTTCTCCCTCAGGAAGCTTTTGCTTTAGCCAATGTCAGCTGAACGCCCTCAGTCAGAGGAGCAAACCCAGCCCCCAACGCCCCTGGCCACTTAGCAGCACTGAGGCCCATGGCCACAGCCCCGCCTGGATGCCTCCTGCCCTGGGCTGGTGCCCCCACCCTCTCCTTGTCTTCCTCCTGCCTCTGAGGCCACTCCTCATCTCTCTAAGCTCCAAGGGTCAAGGATGACACCAAACCATAAAGCATCCTTCAAGACGTGTGTGTCACCTGCAAGAAAACAGTCACTACACACTCAGCCACTGTGCCTGCCCTAAGACCAGAGGCACGAGCACTGTCTCCTGTGGGCCTGCACCGCCCTGCTCAGGCCTGGGACAACTTCTACTTCTTTTCTTTTCTGAGACAGGATCTCCTCTGTTACCTGGGCTGGAATGCAGTAGCAAAATTATGGCTCACTGCAGCCTCAACCTCCTGGTTGACTCTCAAGTGACTCTCCCACCTCAGATTTCCGAGTAGCTGGAACTACAGGTCACACCACCATGCCCATTTAATTGTTGCATTTTTTTGTAGAGATGGGGTTTCACCATATTGCCCAGGCTGGTCTTGAACTCCTGGGCTCAAGTAATCCGCCTGCCACAGCCTCCCAAAGTGCTGCACCTGGCCAGCTTCCTCTTTTAAATTGCACTCACTCTCATGGCCAGGTACAGGGGCTCACGTTTGTAATCCCCGGGTTTTGGGAGGTCAAGGT